TTCGTCTCCTCTCTCTCTCTCTCTCTCTAATTTCTTTTTTTTTGTTTTCTTTGTTTTCTTTTTGTTGCACCTTTTTAATCATCAATGAAAACTCTCGGTTAATTGTTCAAAAAAAAAAAAACTAGAACAACAATTTTCAATGAGTTTTAAGGCGCTGCTTTGTTTATTGGGAGGGCTTTCTATGTGACTCCACCCACATTAATGGTATATATGTGACCCCTATTTTCAACCACCAGATCTGAGTAGAAGGCTGAGATGGCTTGAGTTACAATGTCACAAGTTAGCACTTAACTGTCAAATTTTGATCAGACAACTAATAATGTTTTATTTTTTATTTTTATTTTATAAATAAATTTGAATCAAATTTTGGCGCATGCATAGATATGACAAGGCACATTTGAAAAAAAATATAGAAAAATATTTATGTACTAAAAAATTACCAAATACCCTTGAAAATAGTAGGGGTATTTTGATCATTTATTTTTATATAAAAAATATATTTTTATTTTTTCCAAGTTGGTCCCAAGTTTATGATGGTATGCCTAAATTTCATCCAAAAGTATTTTGTAGAAAATAAAAATAAAAATAAAGACATGATATTGTGGTATGAGCATCGAATGGCTGCAAATCGCCATTAATTGGCAATTTTTTAAAAAATTCAGTGTTTTTATGGAAATATTTTAAAACAGCGATTTTTTGAAAAGGTCGGCAAAAAATCACGTAATTTTCATAAACCAGTTTTAAACGGGTTTTTTTCATCATACGATTTAAATCAGGGACAAAAATCATATCCTTTTTTACCTATATTTTTTTTGAAAAATAAGTTTTTCCTGTTTTGTCTATTGTAGCCATTGCTACTTCCATGCTTTAAAAAAAAAATTACTTTTAAAAAAAAAAGAGATTGAAATAGAAACTTTTATCCCTACTGTGTTCTTCAAAGCCAGAGTTGCAGATTGATGGTATGAATTTTTTTAAAAAACTTAATCAAATAGATGCAAATTTCAGTTGTCTTTCTGGAAAATCATTGTGTAAATGAAATAATGTTTATAGCAAATCATTTTGTAAAGTAAACCATTGTGTAAAAAAATCATATACAAGCAGATTGCTGTGATTATTTGTGATAATTGCTTTTATGAAATTACTGTTAATGGCATGAATTAAAGCTCAAACCATATTTTTTTACTGATGAATGAGAAGCAAAGAGTGTGACTATAGGACCAAGTAATCAATATTTTGTTTTTGATTGTGTAAATTGTAAACTTACAAGAGTAAGCAATTGTACATATAGGATTAGTTCCCCAAATTTAATCCATCAACTCTGTTTCCTCGAGAAAATGAAAAGCCCTCTTCACATTATACCAAATCAGCATCCCATCTTCCTTTTCTCTCTCTAGAAATCAGTTAGGGCCTCTTTCATTAGAGTTCTTCCTTCTCTCTCTCTAAAAGTAAGTTAGGGCCCCTTCCATTAAGGTTTGTGAAAACCATTTTTTTCTTCCTTCTTCTCTTTATAAACCCTAATGGCTATGAGCCGAGCCCTATTTTTTTCTCTTCCTTCTTCTTTCTTCTTTCTTCTCTCTTCTTCTCTTCTTCCTTCCTCGTTCTTCCTTCTTCTCTCTCTACACATAATACATGTAAAACCCAAATTTTTACAAATTTCTTTTCAACAAAAGAAATTTATAAAACTTTAACCATAGGTATGAACTGACTATAGTCACCATACCATAGTTAAATAATTGTAACGAGAAAATAAAAATCGGGTATTTATTTTTTGGTACCTGCTAAGTAACAGTTATGTTTAAGTATTTAATGAATAAATTTATAATATATTTGTCA